AATATCATTCAATTCCAATAACCAACGATGATGACGTTCAACAAATGTTTCAGATACATCAACAATGTCATCCTCTAAGTGATACAATTGAGTTGTATGTTGTTTTCAAAAGTAATGAGGTTCAACAAGAATTTGTCATGCTACTAGAGAACAACAATAAAAGTGATGACTATGACTTTGAAGGAGATTATCAAAGTGATGAGGAAAGCAATGAGGATATTGATGATGATGCTGATGAAGAGGAGCCCCATATGGATGGGTAACATCCTTTTGGTGAGCCACCCTTCATGCGTGAATTAGATCTTGATGCTATGAATACTTATGAGTTTTCAGAGTATGCAAACTTAGGTATGTGAAATTTATAATTATATTAGTGAGAGTAATTTTAGTTTTGTTAATTAATTTATGTTCGCTACTAGTAGGTAACATAAGATAGATGGTGAACTGTATGTTGGAAGGCAATTCAGTGACAAAGAAGCTGTTATGAAAACAGTAAAGCATTACAGTATATCAAAAGGAGTGGATTACAAAGTGTTAGAGTCAAAACCAAATACTTTTTATTACAAATGTGTAAGATATGACTTAGATTGCAGCTGGCTTTTTCGAGCTAGTTTCAGGAAGAACGAGTATTTTTAGGAAATCCGAAAATATAATGGTCCACACACTTGTACTGTTGGAATCATTTCTCAGGATCACAGAAAGTTGGATACAGACATAATTGCATAATGTATAAAGCCAATGGTAGAATCTGATCCTTCTTTTAAAATCAAAGTAGTGATTGGAGAAATCCAGTCTCGATTTGGGTACACGATAAGTTATCGAAAAGCTTGGTTCGCAAAACAAAAGGCAATTGAAAAAGTATTTAGTCAGTGGGAAGCCTCATTTGATGCTTTGCCGCAATGGTACATAGCAATGTGTGATGCTGTTCGATCTGTTGTGAAATTAGATGTTGCAGAGGATTATCGCAATGGTGAAATGGTTCCTAATTTTCAAATATTACGACAAGTGTTTTGGAGTTTTGGTCCTTGCATTAGAGCATTTCAACATTGCAAGCCACTTGTATAGGTTGATGGGACTCATTTATATGGCAAATACAAGGGAGTTCTACTAGTTGCTGTTACACAAGATAGAAATCAGAATATATTGCCAATTGCATTTGCTGTTGTTGAGGGTGAACAACAGATGGTTGGAGTTTTTTCCTAGAAAATTTACGAAAATATGTTACCAAAGATGGTGTTGGCATAATTTCTTATCGTCATGAGTCAATTATAGCAGCAATAAGAAGAAGCAATGGCCAGTGAGAACCTCCAAGAGCATTCCACATGTATTGTATTAGGCACATTGCTGCAAATTTCTTGCGAAGATTCAAGGCTCCTAACTTGCATAAACTTGTTGTTCGTATGGGTAATTAACCTCATTTTCTTATTTGAAGTAATACAATGTACTTGTTTTTAGATGACATTGTTTATGCTTGTGAAATTTGAATTTGTTATTTACAGGTTACTCAAGAACTGAGCATGAATTTAATATTCATTATGAGCGAGTACGGGAGCGTGGACAAATTTATATAGACTGACTTAATGAAATTCCACGAGAAAAATGAGTTTTAGCATTTGATAGCGGACATCAATGGGGCCATATGACGGCAAATTTCATTGAATGCATTAATTCTGTATTGAAAGGTACTCGCAATTTGCCTATTACAGCACTTATTTGAGCTACATACTTTTGATTGGCACAGTTGTTTACACATAAAGAGAGCAAGACTTATGCACGTAAGAATGCTGGACATTTGTTCTTAGAATACAACAAATAATTATTAAGAAATATAGTAATTACTTATTATTAATTATTTAAATATTCTGAATAAATTTTAAAATATTTTATACATGCAAATAATTAATTACTAATTAATTCAGTAATTATAAATTATCCTAACTCATTCCATATAAAACTTAACTAATTTATTACTAAAGTAATCTAACTAATTTTATAGAAAAATTACTTTATAATATAATTTATAAAAATTCTTAAAATTAACATAATACATTAAATAATTATTACTAAGTTAACCTAATTAATTTTATAGAAAAATTACCTTATAATATAATATATAAAAAAAATCTTTAAATTAACATAATAGATTAATGATAATATATAAATATATATTAAAATACACACTAAAAATATATTAAATAAAATTCTAAAACTTACATTTAAATTCAGAATTTTTTCAGAAATATGTTTTTTTAAATCAACGGTTGTATCTTTCATCGGTTTTTTTTTCAAATTTTTTTTTCCTAATTTCTTACTCTCTCACACACACCTTTCTTCTTCACCAGGCCTTCTTCTTCTTTAATGGTCTTCATTGCTACAGTTATCTGCAACACGTGATGAATGAAGTCAAAACTCGTCAATAGCGATTTTACAGTGTTCAAAGCTCAGTCCTGCCATGTTCCTATGCATTGCAGTATTTGTTGTTGCATAAAAACACCCTTGGCAACTTTAGCCTTTGACCATGGTAAAAATCACCATTTGCGGTTTTATAGAAACTGAAAACTGCAGTCTGCATATCTGTTATTATTTTGCTCAGATTAAAATCGTCATTGGCATTTTTGTGGAGATCAGAAATTGCAGTCTGCATTCTGGCATGGTTCTGTTTATAACAAAATCGCTATTTACGTTTTTTTTTCCCATTATTCTGGTAATAATGCAAAAGAGGCCATATTTCTAAACTTCGTTTCTTAATATACCATATTCAAATCACTTTTCGTGTGAGTGACATTTAATAATTTTTTCACTTAAAGGAATATTAAAATGACAACAAAAAAAATTTGTAAAATTTGCTTAAACATTTGTGATTTTTCACTATTTTTTTAAAATGTTACATAATTTTTTTTATATCATCTTCTTACAATTCACTTAAATGAAAAGAACTAGACTTTCAATTCACACACAAGAAAGAATCTAATTCGATAGGAAGATGCTTAACCTTCTTATCTCACTTTGGACGGTATAAAAGCCATTTAGATTTTAAGAACATAGAGAAAAAACATATTCATTCACATCTCATCTTATTGAAGCTAACCCTAACCAAATATATCTCATATATAGTCTAGTCGAATCAAGAATATGAAGCTTCTCATAGGGCAACACTTGAACAACATAAAGCTCAATCCCAAGCTTGCTTCCATCAAACACAGTCTCCATATTGTATCCACTCTTGAATTTCATCGTGGACTGCTTGAAATCGCGGCAAGAAAAACCTAGATTCAAAACCACACAAGAACACAAAACCAAAAACCAAACTTACTTAGCATTGCAACAAAACCAACATTCCTCTTCAAAGGTTCCTACAGAGGACCGAGTATTTGAGGGAGGGTATTAGCTTTAATAAACAAAGGTTCTCACTCTCATATATCCCATCTTAAATACATTCATGTGGACGTTGGAGATTGCTGGGAGGATGCTGTTATTGGATTAAAAGAATAAGGCGCTGCAAAACGTGGTAAAAAAGGAGAGAAAGGGAGTTTATTACAGATGACAATGATGGTAGTAACTTTCTCAAAATAACAAAATATCTTTTTTTAAAGTAAAAATTACTTTAAAATAATAATTTTTAGATAATAAAATAATAATAACGTGACAATTATTATTTAATAAAATTTAGTTAACAATAGAAATTAGTTTTTATGATTTTGAATATGTAAGAAATTAAATTTTGATAAAAAAAAATTAGGGACTAATTTTAAAATGTTTTATTTTTTAAAATATAATTAAGTTTAGTTCCTTTGCTTCTTATACTTGCTAGTAGTATATATTGAATATTTTCACGTAATATATGATCATTTTTATATTGAATATTTTTATGTAATATGTGATATTTTTATAGTAATTTGAAGATTAAGAGCATATCCTATACCTTTTGGATAAGAAAATTAATTTGAACAATTAAAAATTAAGAGTTAATGTAATAAAAATTAAAGGAACTAAAATCATACATAGATTAAAATATAAAAACTAAAAGTGTGATTAACCTACTTATCCTTACCAATTTTTTAATTACTAAATAAATAAATTATTAAATATTTTTAGTACTTTTAACTTTTAAGATAATAAATGCACATACTTTTCATTTAATACTTTATAAGGTAATAAGAGAATTATTAGGAATATATATGTACGAAGTAATAGCAAATTTCGTAATCAATTCTTTAAAACCTAATGCATTAACTAATTTTAACAATTTTTAATTTGTATAATTTAATTGAAAAAGAGTCCTATTATGAGTATAATTCCATTAGTTTATTAGGTAAATGGTAAGGTATGAAATAAATAAATGCAAACAATTTAACAAAAAAAAAAATTTACAAGAGAAAATCCTTATTTTTGAGTATGTTTGTTTTTCTTTTTAAAAAGAGTTTTTTATTTTTTTCTAAATATAGTATAAATTTATACTACATTTAGAAAATAAATAAAAAACTCTTTTTAAAACAGAAATCAAACATATTGTTTATCTTTCACAATTTTATTTGCCATTTAATTTTTTTTGTCACTAGATTAATTTTTTAAGATTTCAATTTGTTTAAAAAATATAAAATGTTTTTATATTAATTTTATGAAAGACTAAAGTGGTGAAAAAAATTAAAGGTGTAATTTGATGACATATTAACCTTTTTAAGGGAGAAATAAGATATCATTATATTGGACACTATGAAAGACTAAAATGATGATAACAAGAAATATGAAAAATACTATTTTAGTAATAAATTAAATTTTTAAAAGACTAATTTTAAGACAATCTTACAAAGACTATAGTGATGAAAAGAATATTTGTAAAACTAATATGACACATGTAACTTTAGATGATTAAATTGAGGAGTTTTCCAAAATCATTTAACATTTACTTTTTAAAATAATTAGAATTTTTTTAACTAATTAAAATTATTTAATAAGACTTGCTGGATAACTCTTCTAACATGATCCAACTCATTATTACTGGTTAACCTTGAAAATTATTATTACTGGTCATATAATTGGTGCACTCAGCTAAAGTTACTCTGTTAGTGCACGGCAGAAGCTCCCATGGTTTTATCACTTCCTACTAACGGCAACACCCACCAATTGAACATAGATGCAGGCCGAGACACGACGCGTTAATCCTATGCTAGTTTTCTCCAGTCAAATGTATAGGCATGCATTCAATATCAGGAGAATGTAACTCTTCAATTATGTCTACAACAAAAAATGTAATCATATTTAATTACCCATAAATTGACCACCACAAAAGAGGCAGAATTTCTTTTACAGGAAATGTAACATAATATCACAAAAATAATGGTTGAGACCAGGGCAGATGGTGAGGGAAGGTAATTTTAATCTTGAAAATAGAGACTTTGGGACAAATAAGGTACTAATCATTTACTGTATTTAGATATCCTCTCATTTTGTTGAGTAACAAGAAAAAGACAACTTATATCAATCTTAATAAGTGAGACTTACAACTAATCAAGAAGGTCCTTATCCTCTATTGTAACATGCAGACCTGAGGATAACTAAAGGCAATCACAACGAAACTAAAAATAAATGACGTTGTATTAGTTTTCTGCAACTCTAAATGTATACAACAATGCGTTTGCCTAGATAGCTTTGTCTGTAGTACACCTACTATATTAACGAACAGAACCTACATTAATCAACAAAAAGGATTTTCACTTCACAAAGTTCGATTCCTACTTTATTTCTTTGAACTTTTTTTTGGGGGGACAAAAAAGGTATAGTAGCTAGAGTGAATAAATGTTATATAACCAGTACTGGTGAAATGTATGACTAGGAAACCTACTCTTCGCAAAATGGCAACATGAGCACAAAGATACTGACGAACAAGTGCTCCCTTTACACCTCAAAAATGCCTCATTACTAACGGAGAAGCCTAACAGCTCACAGATTAAATGAGAAATTTACCAACTGTTGTTGAATGGAGACTTTCTATCAGCAGTTAAAAGAAAGATGCATCTCTATCTGTTCAAAGGTTCTAACTGGACTTCCATTCTAGCAGAAGCCTGTGACTCTTTATCTGCCGGTGTCCTGGTTGGCCTCAAGAGATCAAGGGAATCATCGTCCTCAAGATTACCAAGCACCCAATTGCCCCTTCCAATTATCCGGTCCCTTATTCGCTGCCTTTCACGGTATTCCAAATAAATAACAGCCAGTGTACCGACTGAGAACCAAATCACCAACGCCCAGTTGAGTTCTTGGGCATTTTCCACAGCATATTTTTTTCCCAAATGCTTCATGCCACTAAAAAGTGCTGCAATGCCTACAATAATGGCAGATCTGCCAACAATTACGTGGAAGTATTCCCAAACAATCCTTTTAAATGATGCCTGCTCCCCATTTGCTTGTTTTTGAGGCCTTAGGAATGCATTCATTGGCTGTATGCAAGCCAAAAATATTGCAGCAATTCCAAATTTAACATGTGCTGAGCTGACATGAAATCCCCGTAGCTCAGCAACAGCAAAAAGAAGGGCAATTAGAACAATTACTAGCCCTGAATATTGCAAATAAACATGAATTTTGTACCATCCATCACCCTTTAAATGTTTTAAGTATCTGGCTGCCAATATACCTCCAGGAAGCAAGATACCCCATGCAAGGAACATCATAAAGCCATGCACCGACAAAACAGGAAGTAAATCCTGCTCTGCTTCTGCAGAACCACGAATCAGCTGTACGCGTATAGGCCTAGTACTGGTAAAAGAATGCATATTCCTTTCAGTGAGATGGTCATTACTCCATTTAGCACCCATTGCCCATACAACTTTAAGTGGAGTTGTGGGATCAATAATATTTTTACATTCTTGCCGCCTCTTGTCATGACCACAAGATGGATCCAAGGGGCGTGTAAATTCCAAAGTAATGATGCCATTTTCTGTTTTGCACCTCACATATGTTAAATTCTCACGAGTGAGATGTATACTCGAAGCATCCTTTCCATCAATCCAGTAAGTGTTTACACGACCTACACCATTATCATCAATCCAGCCAACATAAGCATAAGTGTACATCATTCCACTTCCAAATCCTATCGCAAGATAACCACTCTTTTTCTCACCACGAGCAGCAATGGATATGGAATTCTTTGACAGTGTCCAAAAGAAGGTAACCTGTTGATCATCCAGAACAACACTGTTATTATACATATCAGATAGACCACCATCAACAACTTCAACTCTCCAACCCATTTTCTTCTCATAAACGGAATGATAGTAGACTTGATCAGGAGTGTTCCTGTCAGGAGCCCAAACTAATTCCATAGGACTGGCTTGAACTCCTTCTGCCTCAGGACCTCCAGCATAGATAATCTCAGTCAGGTTCCTCAGTGTAGCATTTCCCCCAATCGGATCAGACGTAATATAAAGCGCAACATCATGCCCAGCTTGTACTGAAAACGTGACCGGCACCCCTCTTTCAACCCTCAAGACGGGCGCTTCCTTCTTGTTGATGTAAAGAACCTTTGCGGGATTTGGTGGGTTGGGATAGTGCATTGCTGAACCAGACGCAACAAGTAAAGGAACTTTAGCATCAGCAGTGATGACATCTTGATCCTCTTTATCTTCAGCATCAAGAGGACCTTTACAATCATTCACATGCTCCGAAACATTTAGAACCAAATGACCATAAGCCTCAAAGGGAAGGCCCCCATGATTCTGAGGAAGATAGTAAGGTTGAAGGGAATCAGGAGGTCTAATCTTACCCAAAGCCCAAATAACAGTCATGTTAGCCAAACGATCCACAGGTCGATCATACTTGTCATCAACCGCATTCAATGGCCTCCTATATCTAACAAATGAAACCCCATCTCTCCTATGCCCATAAATCAACCTTGTATTATTCACCAAACCCACCCTATCTGGCCCTTCAAAGATTGAATCAGGACAGACACCTTGTGCAGATCCAGCATCACTGTTTGTCACACACTCACTATACTTAGTAATGAAGAAATCATCCACAAAGGGCAACCCATCTTCCTTAAACCCAGTCACAGCCACGTCTGCACCGACCATGAGCTCAGAATCAGTGGCATCAGGGTTTGCCCACCCAAAAGCCATGTAATTCATGATCCCAGTTGCACCCTCCAACCCAATCTCAATAAAATCTTCTTTCACATTCAAACTCCACCGAACCCTAAAATCTTTCGACAAAACCTTACAATTATCAAACATCGTTGGCTCCGTGCGAACCTTCTTTCTCATGTCGCTCACTGGCGCCAGCGCCGGCGAACTCGCTGTGCCATTGGAGATCTCTCCGAGGACGACGTGGCCAAAATCGGAGGCGGTGGGTCGGTCCCACACGGCAAGGACACGGATCATGTCCCACGTGACGTTTTTCATCAAACGCACAACGAAGGAGGAATTGGCGTAGCTTTGGTTCAATTTGTGATCGGAAACGATGAATCCATTTGTAAGGTTGTCGAGATCGGGAGCAAGTGCACCCCACCAGTGGACGTCGGAGCCAGAAAGCATGTCGAATTGGGAAACCCTAAAAGAGCAATCATCAAGGATTTTGAGGTAGCCTCTAAGTTGGTGCTGAACCATTTTGAATTCGGCCTCCGAATCGACGAAGGGGCTGGTTCGGGAGCATTTCGGAGGAGGATCCGCATAGCTCAAGAACAACAGGGATAGGAGCATGAAGATGAAGATGGATTCACGAAGCATGTGGATGGGATCCGAATACGTTGACGCGGGTAGTCTTCGGAATCCGAGGATCCGAATTACCGGTGATCAAGGGAGAAGGGGGACGTGGGTAATCGGAGAACGCCGCGATCGCCGTCGTCGATGCCGTGCGGTGAAGCAAACAACGGCCTGGTGGGAGTTTCTTTGTTCAAAAAAACAAAAGGTGTTGTTGGTGCGTTTGCGCGTTCGTTAGCGCGTTGGGTCTTATGTGGACAAGTCACAACTTTGTATGATTCAGTTTTGGTGAAAGAAATTAAGAACAGAGTTTGTCGTACCCAAAGTGAGTCCTACGAAGTAAACTCATCATTTGCTTGCGCTTACGTCCATTTCAAAAGGAGAATGATTTGTTCACACCTATTTTACGGGGGCGAAATAGACTGAAGAGGTGAGATATAAAGAAAATGAAAAATAAAATAAAAAATGTAATAGATAAATGATTCAATAGAAAGAAATAACAGAATAAAGAAAAAAAAAAAAGAATGAATCCAGGAGAAAATAAGTTTAAAAATATAAATATTCATTGTAAAACGGTTGTCAACACATTGTATTTGCCTCATGTTGATGTACTGTGCCTCGTTTCACATTTAAGACAGTAAATTGAAGACCTTCGCATGCTTTCGAAATCTTAGTTTAAGTTGTAGTGATCTTTTTAACATATATAAAAACAGTAAGTTGCAGAAACAATTTTTCAGTGAATTATAACAAGTATGGTGTCATATCCCACTCTCTAATGACATTGCAGGTCACAAGTCCCAAACGTTGTTAAGATAAAGTTCAACCCACTAATAATAAAGACACGTTGAGCAATAGGTCATTATATTGCAAGTCAAATTTTAAAACCAGGAAATACGAATTAGGATAGGTATATAAAAGCACCTGCCCAAGTGCGTTCAACCCACATTTTCATACTACATTGGATCTCTCTTTTTCTTGGAAAAAATTTTCGATCAACTTTATTGAGTCTTGTATTCAAAAGCAAATATTCGATAACCAATACGCGCATGCTGTTAATACCGATAAGATGACTGAAAGAAACAAAATGACTGGAGTGAGAAAAAAAAAGCAGGTTAAAGATAAAGCGGCTAAGCAGCCCCCGTCTGAATTCAATCATAGAATTATAAACAATAAGACTTGGTGGCATAATTGAATTAATTCAAGCTCTTACGTCGCTTTTCGATGTTTATAACTAGTAGGTAAAGTATATTTCACGTTTACTACTAATAACAAAATTTAACATTCACTATAGTTTGATAAAAATTACCTCTAGAGAAAGGGGTTTCAAACGAAAAAGTACAAAACTATACAAAAGAAATTTTTACGGACTTCTATACAACTATATTGACATTGATGTAATTGCCCTTGACGGTATTAGCTCAGGCAGAAGCTTTATCACTAGTATTTCAAAAAGCTACACATTTTATTTTACTCCAACTCACTCAAACCAGGGAATTCGTAGAAGATTAAATGCACTTACCCAAAAAATTTAAGAAAACCGAAGTTCAGAGTCACATATTTTCAGCATAAAGACAAGAAATTGCTTCTTACATATTTCAGACAAATACACATCCCAGAAAGTGAAAGCGATTCACAAAGGTTCCAGATGATTATCAGCTATCTGCCCATGTTGTCTCCACCTATCAATTTCACTAAAAGAAAACTACATTGAGTACCATTAGATGGTCGAGGATACTTTAATGGATTGCACTGCGGAGTATTTCCTTACTTTCTTTTGATCCCAGAGTTAGAGAGAGAGAGAATGAAGAGTAGTAACTGAAATATTCACAGCACCAGTTTTCTTTGTGCTGAAATGTTTTAAATTTGTCAAAAGTCATAATAATGATCATAATCATATTCAGAAAAGTCACTCCCACCTGAGAATTCATAATACTCATAATCATCATCGGACAAGAAATCTATGTCTGAGATCCCAGATGGGTAATCTTCATCAAGTGATCCAAAATCAATTTCGGCTTCAAATGGGTAGTCATCGGTGGGATCATATGGAAGTCGTAAATCTTTTATCTGTTCATTACATCTCCTCCCCAAACTTCCACTCAAATTAACATTGAAACACTGTCGTAAGTCAAGAGATTCAAGGTGGGGACAGCCATTTAGAATAGCGAGCAAGCCATCATTAGTCATCTTGTTTCCAAAAAGCTGGAGATGCCGTAACTCAGGCATGGTTTCTGCAATAGCAAAAGCCTCCTCATCACACTCAATGTGTGGGCGTCTATAACCTTCCATGTTAAATTTCAAGGATTTTAAGTGAGGGCAGCACCGACCAATAGCTTCTATAGGATCTTTGGATAAGTTGCTGATTGATATATCAAGCTCCTCCAACTGAGGAAGCTTTTTTGCAACTTCACACAATCCTTCATTTGATATCTGATTGCAGCATGCAAGACGTAGGCGTTGTAGATGACTTGTACTGTGAAATGGAAAGACATTGCAAAAGGAGATAGTGTTACATAGAGATGCTACCAAAAGATCTGGCATGACATTGAACAAACTATATTGAAATACAATTAAAAGATCTGCTGTGACTATGGTCCCATAGTTGGTCCCAAGCCCAGGTAAAGGAGGAGAGCTGTGTTAAGCTCTCAGCAACCAACATAAAACTTGTCAAAACCTTACATGGATCCTTATGATGTTATTTGATATTTGACCAAGCTCAGTGGCATCTAGAATGAATAATTTACACTTCAAACAGAAATACCAAAAATTAATTGCGTTATGACTTATGACACAAGATCCGATACACTCAATTCAAATTTTAACATGACAAGGCCATGTTCAAATAAATTGTCTCTCTCTCTCCTAGAAAACATTTAACATGTGGGGGTCCTATTTAATATCTATTGGGAAAGGGAAGCACACAAAATTTGAACATGGCCAGTCATGGACATGAGAGGATTTATTCCGGTTACAACACATATATAGATTCAGCAATAACTGCTACATCACACACATCAATTCTATACAAAATACAGTATCTGAAATAATAGACAAACGTAAGACACCATTAAATCAAAGTATCATCAAACAACAAAGTCATCATTATTCATAGTCTCAATCAGAGTCAACCAGAAATTTGATTTTGAATTATATAAAAAAGAAAAGAAATTAATAAATAAAAATGAAAACTTGACTTTGAACAATGAGATATGTGAACTTTCTTCATTTCACTGCAATCGTATCTTATACTCATGTTGAATCTGTGTATCCTGCCACTAAAATAACATCGACATCTATCCTCTAGATCAGCTTCAAATTCATAGACTTTTACAGGTTCATGATACAACTCCAGTTCATTACTTTCAAGATCAAAACCAACCACGCCAAAAATTGCTTTTTCAAAAGTAAACTTTTTACTCCAAAACACATTAAGGTTCAAAATGAAAAATTTGACTTGGGTAACATTTGAGTTATTTGTCAAGCAAACAAATAATTGGGTTTCATTAGATTATACTTATAAGAGTTCAAGCCATGAGACTCACTAAGCAACATGGGTCACTTGACTTAGCCCTTCTTCCTAGCCAAAAAAAAAAAGACCTAAAGAACAGGGGAACGAAAACTTTTTTTTATTATCTTGAGGTATGCTAACAAGTAACAACACCACAATCTTTGACGCTACGTTTAACACAATCTATCATTAAGTGAAATCCCATATTACTTAACTAAATAATCTAGAGATACTCTATATTAGTGAGGCCAGCACGGAATTTCTGTCAATAATATATTTTTCAAAAAATAAACAGCGATAAAAAAGTTAGCGTCAAATTGCTGGCATTTGTCTTATTTTCACGTTAATTTATTTCAATCTGTGCAAGCCATGGTTCTCCAACAGTTAATTGCACAATTGAGGTTAGAAAATTCAACCAAACCTCCTCATCAAGGACTTCAAGTATTGGAATGAAACACAAGACTCAATGGAAGCTTAGTCTTAGATAGCTCAATTAGCATCCGCAACGGCACATGCAAATAACATTACGCAATTCAGCGAAGACGATTAAAGGGAAAAGGAAGTGAAACTCACGAATCAGTCATATAGTGAAGGAGATCATCGGTGGCAAAATACTCGATATTGATATCGAGCAAGTGGCCAGAACTATAGTCAATGGCCCGGCGACACATAATCCCCAAATCGTAGTCCATGTCCCCCAAATTGCACATGTCGATGGTGCGCCAGAGGAGAGGATCCTTCGAGATGTGGCGCCACACAGAGCACACGCGCTGAGCGCAAGTCAGGATTTCGATTGCGCCAAGCTTCTGGAAAATCGTACACAGCACGTCTCGCGGAAGATCTAGCCAGTTTCGCTCTCCACAATCAACCACCGCGTTCGAATTCGAAGTGGAAGACGACGATGACTCCATTCAAGAATCAAGAGAGAGTTTGGTGAGTGAAAGTTGAATCGTCACCGCCACGAATCGATTGTTTTTCCTTTTCCCCTTTCTTTCGTCCAATATATGCAAATATCAATTGCAAATTGGGTCTCGCCTTCTCAGTGTCACCAAGCTCACTCCTTATATGAGTTCTACTATGGATTAGGCTAGCCCATTCTGTGGCCCATTAAAATTACTGTCCAGCTTGCATTGGGCACTCCACATAAGACCACGGCTTGAACGGGCCCAATTCTAAAAAAATAGCATTTCATTCAGTCTTTAAAAAAATGGAGGCTGAGCCCAGTCTATGCAGGTTGTGAGCTTGATTGAGTTGGCCCGAAATTTTTTTCTTTCTGAATAATTTAAATATAAGCTAGACAAAAAAAAAGAAATACAAGATAATTAATACTATAAGAATTAGCAAAAGGAAGATATCTAACTTATACATTATAGTAAAAAAGCTGCTCATATTTGATACTATAACTGACAATAAAAAAAAAGAAGAGCAAATAATATTAAAGATGGATACTATTAAATTAAAGCATAGTCTCATTGAAAGGTTCCATCACACTAACTCTAATATTATCCATTGGATTTGTTGAAAATCAATTCAACCACATAAAATGAAGAAAACTTATCGACTGATCAGCATTCAGCAGCTCCTCACGTTCGTTGCAAATGAATTCCTTAGATGTGTTTAGGCTCCAAGGCAAACAATCAACAAAGTCGAGATATAATCATACGAAAAATTAGTAACATACTTTTTAATACTTCTTTTGATATATTTTTAATTATTAATAAAAATTTATTAAAAATTATGTGAATTTTACTTTTTTTAATTTAATAAATTTCTCCTATACTTTTTTAGTTTTCAATAAATTTTAACAAAATAATATAAAATATGTTGTTAACACTTCTCAAATTGATTACCTTAAAATATATTGATAAAGGATTTAGTTTTAATTGTGTAGATGAAAAATATTTTATAAAAAGAGATAAAACTAAAACATTTTAAAAAAATTCACAATAACAGGTAAGGTCAAATTAAGGATCATCATCATACTTTGTGAAAGAGTGCATGCTAAAAAGCCTCCTCCAAAGACGAAGGGCGCTTGTAGGGGCGTTTATTGCGCTTAAAACCACATGCAATAATGTGAGTGTTTTAGTTTTGGTCAAAATGCAATGAATCTGTTTACGATTTTGTTACTTGAGGACAGCTGAAGAAGCCAACTGTGTAATATATATACTAAACCACGTTCTCTTCGTTCTAGTTGTGGGTTTAGGTGAGCTCCATTTGAGACCTTTTCTTTAAGGTTGCCTGTCTTATATAGAGAGAGACACATTCAATTCAAAGTTTAGAAATATAACTACATTTTCAATATCAAATAGTCTATATTACAAATATATTACTGAATTAGAAAGAAAAATGTAACGTTGCTATATTCGAAATTTTGATTAACCTGTGCAACTTATATTAATGTATGTTTTATCCAGCTTACAAAGCAAGGTCCCTTTGGCATATTCGGAGTTCGCTTAATAAGGAGTTACGTCTGATATAATCCTCATCAATAAATGATTGACAAGTTATTTTGAGCAATATATTATTTAAGAGTTTATAAAACAAAAAGTGATAATAGCTTGAGTTTTGTATCCATTCACATTAAAATATTTTTTTAGTTGTGCTCAATTATTTATATATATATATAACTCACACAATGTAAAGGAGAAGTTTTTGTTTTGATTTCGCAGTATTGAAGAATAATTAATTACAAGTTGATATAATTATTTTAAAGACAAAGTAATTATTTAACAAAAATATTTATATTATTTAATATAAAATTATAATCATGTGTTAATGTGTAATTAATTTAAATTATAAAAAGAGAAATAATAATAATAACAATACATTTTTTTTATTAATGTTTGATGGTTAAAGTGATTTGGATTTTGAAGTTCTTATGTAAAAGTTTTCAATTAAATGTTGTGAAAAAAAAAAGGTGTTTGAAAAATATATCCTTCAAGTAAATTTAGATTTTACAATAAAAATACACCCACATATATAACTTCTTTAATATATTATTTATTATTCTATTTTAAAAATTTTATATTTTCAAAAGTAATTGTTTATTTGAAAGTTAAATTAATTATTTTTAAAAATAATATATATATATATATATATATAATATGTATGTATGTATTATTAACAATTCTTTTTAAAGATAGTTGGTCGATTAAATCTAAATAAATTTTTTCTTAACTGCTTGAACAGTCAAGCATAAAATAACATTGCCCACCAAACAACTATTTTATGTTAAAAGCGATGTATTAGTATTAATGTTTTATTATCTTAATTTACATAAATTATAAAGACAAATAAGAAGAATTTCTCGTTTCACAAGATTACTTAAGATTTCATAGAAAATCTATCTTAAGAATGAAGAAAATTTTCTCCGATTTGGTTTGCGGCCTCGGAGAAAGACAAAACCGATGAAAAAGTCAAACTCTAAGCAATAATTGCGCATCAACCATGAATCAGACTCCCATTCGAATTAACATCATAATATACTATATTAGAAATGAAGAAAGAAAAGCATAAACTTTTCCATAGAGGCAACAGGGGGAAGAACAAAGACTACAGAAGCAATCTCTCTTTCTCGGATCTCTAAGCATATATTACATAGAAAATTCAAAAAACAAAAAAAAGGGATCAAGAAATTGACCCTTCTTGTTCTACTATCCTCCATTCTTCCATTACATACTGCTTTCTATCACATCTTTTACCATAATTTTTTTTTATTTTAGACATTGTGGATATAGCATGGATCACGCTCGAGCATTTTCATCTCCGCAATTTCTTACTTCTTCAACAAGTAACAATGGACATCCAGAGGAAGAATGTGGCTTGGAAGGTAATTTTATGTGTTACACAGTTCAGCCTCTTTCAAATTTCTTTTTTGATTTTGGATTGAAAATGGTTTGCCAACGATTGTTGCTCTAGCAATCCATGAGATGTTCCATCATCTTAGAATGTAAAAACAAATGGACAGAAAAATCAATTAATCAATCATATTACTTTAGGCACATGTGAATATATGACTGATCATCCTTGTTCTATATTTCATTTTTTGCCACAGGCCTTGCCACGAATGTTAAGCTATTGCTGAAACTACTTCAAGATCATAATGGGTCTAGCACAAATGAAAATGAAGAGCGCAAAGTTCATAGGGTGAATGGAATGATGTTTATCTTAGATGAGGTTAGGTCAAGGATTCAAAAAATTCAATCTTCCACCAAGAGAAGAGCTGAACTTAGGCGGTGTAACACTGACCTTAGGCGTACCATTCCAACCTCAAAGGACAAAAGGGTTGCTGATGTGCCTACAGATGAGAAAGAGAAGCTGAAGAGGGAGCTTAATGCAAGCTTGGTAGCACGACAAAGCCTTCAAGCAATGTGTTCAAGTTTGGGAAAAGAAAAGCAAATTATGGCTTCTGAACTTGCTAGAAAGGCACAAGAGTTGACCGAACTGGAGGATTTCATTGGTGATCTAAAAGCACAGAATGATATGTTGATGGAGAAGTTGCATGCATGCAGCTCAGAACAGAAGGAGAAGAAGAGTAATGGAATGGAAATTGAAAGCAACATAGCTCTACAAGAGCGTAACAAGGCACTTGCGGAGCAACTCCTAAAATCAATTGACGGTTATCGGTCTCTGAAGAGAAAACTCAGAGACATTCTAGAGGAAAATAAGGAAATTCATGATATGATGGAACAAATGGAGGTGGAAGTTCAAACAGGCATTGACAGGATACGTAGCTTCAAGAAAGGAATGATAACAAATAATGTAGGAACACGTAGCATCAATGAGGAAATTTCAGCTTTAGAGCATATGCTTCATTCTCTTCACGTCAAAATCTCAAACCATAAACAGAAGAAAACTTAATACGATAAGCCAAAAGCTCAATCTGTGATTGGTATAGGCAAAGACGAGAAGCATGATTTGCAGGGGAAGAAAATGGAAACTATATGCATCCATCCATTTACAACATGCTCTTGCTCACTTCTTGCCTACCTCATCTATTTTCATGTCTAGAAAGCATGCTCTTAGACCATGAGCAGAAAGGGAGCCGTTGACCAGAAGTTGCTCGTAAATCTGTGTAATATGAGTGAGGAAGAAGGGGTCAAACAGGAGAATGGCCATATTACACATGTTTTTGCACTTTGATTCAGATGTCCACTGACTTCAAGAAAGAGTTGTATAAACTAGGTTCCTGCCCTCACTGTATGCATGTCTTAAATTCAATTTTCCTTCAGTTCAATCTGATCTATGTCATATAGAGTTTATAAGTACATACATTATTCACACTTAAACCAGTAAAAGAACACAAGTCCAGTAAGGAGCAATTTACGCAAACTGGTACAGAAAAATCAAGAAAAGATTAAAAATTAGTTGGTTGCACATAATCACTTTAAAGAAATCATGCTACTCCATCTATACCTGCAAGTCCTAACAGCTTGTTTTCAGTCCCAAACTAGCTCAAATAGAGCCTGCTTACTGTAGATCTTAGCAAAGTTGGCTTTTAGAAACATATTGGTCGTCCTTCAGACCATGACAATCTATTCTTGATATTTAATGTACGGATCATGGTGTTCAGTTTAGGGTTGGAGCATCATATATTACAATCCTCGCATAAATGAATCATTTTAATGTTGTACAGTATTACACATGCAATCTAGCTAATCCATTTCGATGTTGAACCTGATGATCCACACATACCACCTTCCATATTAAATGCTTCCATTAAAACTAACGTTATTAATCTTGTATCACTACTCTCGACACTGTTTTATAAAACACTATTTTTTAAAAAATAACGACTGTAAGTAGAAAGATACAACTATAAAAGTAATAACAATAAGTGCAATATGACCAAGTTCAATAAATTTACTAATCTACTTTTTTATTTTTAAAGATTTCCCAAATCAACTAAAAATATAGCAATAATACTTTTCAAAAGACATTAGCAATCTTCCCCTCTTAAGCTAACTTTTAAGTAAATTAAGTTCAATTTTATAATAATTTTGAAAGTGAATTCCATTTTCCCAACAAAAGGCACGTTACAGCTACACCTTTCTAAAGTTGGGAATAATAGACCATGACCCATGACACCAACTCTTGAACGCAACTGTACATTCTCAGTTATTTGCCTATAAAAGAGGACATAATTGCAGAGACGTGTATCCAATAAACTATATGATGTTAATTTTCCTGTTAAAAAAAACACATTAAGATTTTACCAAATGATATATCATGGTTTCAAAGGCAAAAATCCCACTCCAGTGGAGATATACATGAAACATGGTACAGAGTATCATGATTCCTAAATATTTTGTTCAATAATATTGCCAATGTTAATTTTAACATGACTTGATAGTTAATGATGAAAAGGGAAAACACCAGTTTGAGATCATATAGATGTAAAAGACAATATTTACATTTTATTGAGCAAGGCTTTGCAGCTTGCAGGCTGCAACTGAATCCAGAATCCATATATTACTCGCTACCTTTGAACCTGTAGAGCTTGCCAGAACATCCGCATCATGTCGCCTTTGGCCGAAAATCGTATCCCTTCTTGAAGGAATGCATTTATCAGGAAGCTCTAGGCTGTAAATAATAAGGGTTTGGTATGGATGCGTATCAGATGCTATTGATTCTTGGTCAGCAGACACTGGTTTTCTATGGAGAATTGTCCCTCCAGCAGCCACCACAAGGTCTTGCAGATAACCCTTGTACGAAGGTATAAAATCTCCCATAAAATAGAACTTGTAGCCATCAAAAAGCTTTGGTTTCTGCATAAGAAATTTTGTCAACACAAACCACTAGTTTCGCAAACAACCAAGTATTAGTGAAATAGACGGCAGTTACTCTAGCTCAACTCAATTGAAATGCAATAAACCATCCAATGCATGTTTCATCATTATTAAATAATTTTATCAACTTTAAGACACGTGTGGGTGTGAAAGGAATTCAAGGAAAAAGATGGGAAGGTAGAAAATGTACGAGTAAATTGACAAACACATTGTGCCTCCAAATTACACTGTCATTTCCTCTATTGCCAAGCACAACCATTTTGTATGTTTGCATCTGATTTCTCGGTTTTACCAGTAAGTAACCATGACTACTTGAAGGCATACATTGATTGGTTGCTCATTTGAGGTTTTCTTTCTGCTTTGCAGATATTTTAGGTGTCTCGTACTTTTTGAGAATGATTTTTTTAGGTTACTTGTACTTAGCTGGAGCGGTTACACAAGACGAAAACTTGGATAAAATCTATAAATTCAAGTCAGTCACTGAACCCAACGACAATAAATTTTCTGGCAGCATAACATCCAGAAGGCACATTACTATTGCATTTTCTTTCACCGTCAAACCACTCTCTTATAGTCACGATGATGATGATGATGATAACATGACTAAAATGAAGAACCGAACCTTGTTCAATACTCTCAATCGTCCAAGCCGAGGACCATCCCTGATTCCATGGATGTCAACGTTAATTTCATAACCCTCCTCATCAACAGGATTCATTCCCTTCATGCAAGCTCTGACCCCTGCTTAGCCAAAAACCATCAAACCCCAGAACGGAAAAAATTACAACACAAAGGAAAAGGAAGAAATCATTTTAGAGATTTACAATAATGTTATGATTACGACAGTACAAAATAAAAGACTCACACTCAACATTGAGAATCCACTTTCCCTCCAGGATACCCAGCAATACTTTGAGGGTCCTTCTGCATGCCCCATTTTCATCCGTTGATGCTATAACATGGGTGACATTTGAATCCCAATTTTTCAAAACTGTAACCTTGGATACTCTTTCAAATTCAGAGACAATTTCCTACAATTTCAACCGTAAAAGATAAGCAATAAGAGGAAATATGATGATACAGGACTAAACTGAACGGAATTATTTTACCCTCTCCTGTACGGATAGACCAGAACAACATAGTACAATTTTCTTGTATGATCTCTGAACAGTCCGACTTTGGCTTGCAGCATCATGTTTACCCCCACGGTTATTGCCCTCTCTAGCTGTGCATTTGTTCCTTTTTTGGGATCCTGAACTTTTTTCACAGGGCAATAAGGAGGAAGTATGCAGAGGGCATAACATGACGAAGTTTTCCTGAAGTAAATTAGCAGGATCTAATAAGATTTCTTTTTATCTGAAAAGAGCGTTAAATTTTAAATGCAATCACGTACCATATCCCATCGACATTGAGAAGTCCACTTGGCACAAGGAACATGAAAGCTCCGGCGACAAGTTTTCTCATAACAACCAAGTGCAGCCCCTTTAAGTCCACAAAAACTACATTTAATTCTCCGACTTCTACTTATTTCAGCTTCAAGATTTATGGCATTATCACCTTCAAAATACACATTGGGGGCCCTGATGCATATGTAAAACACATCATTTACAGGTTTTAATTCAAGCTAGTTGGTTGCAAAATCAACCCAACTAAATTAAATCCATGTTAAGCAAATATTTAGTTGTTTGAACTTTGAAGGATGATAACTGCAGTACAAAATATCATAATTAGAAGGGCATCATCATCATAAGAGCAGTCCAAAATATTAACTATATTACATGCCTACATAGACAAAATCTATGCAAAAATTGTAAAATCACTCATGAAACAATTCTTTACCATTCTGTGCAGTTCCTGTGACAATGTGTGACTTTAGATCCCCCTTCATAATCTGCAGTTACAGGCTTGCCATCAAAGTAGTGCACCATCTGGCCAGAAGCCTGTAGTTTGAATTAAATACTGTAAGCTTCAGTCTAATTATCATAATGACAAGCCGAGCAAGTAAACAAGTTTACCTCTGATTCTTCTGCTGAGAGACAGAAGACACATTGATACTTTTTGACATGGTTCTCACATTTTTTTAAAAATGTTTCATCCATCAAAGGACAATATTTTTCTTTTGACATATAATTATCTGGAGCTTGACAAATGCTTTCATCAGGTTGAATTTCTTCACAGTCTTTAGCCTTAAAGATACAATGAGAGGAAAGTTTTGACCTCTTACTAGTTCTCAAATCTTTACCACAAGACACAGATTTTCTGGAAAACTTGCTTTTGCTTTGCCTGCTATTAGAGGTCTTTCCATTCTTATCCATCTGCAGACTGAAAATGGATGAAGCAGAACCAGCAAACTCATTGGTTTGGTTCTGCAATGAAGATAAATCTTCAGCTAGGTCCTGCACATGCACATAATCCATCTTTTGTTTTCCAGATCTTTTCTTCTGCCTTTTTCCACCAATCTCTTCAGGACAATGCTTCCCATTTTCTTGTTCACATGTTGAAGTACATGAACTTTTAGCCATTTGCATTTCATCATTGCTTAGAACTCCTAATACATTAGAGACTGTACAAGCAGTTAGAGGCGTCTGACTTGTACTTGTATTGAAACAAACCCTCTTGCCCCTTCTATTAGTCTTCCGCAGGTTTGATGGTCTGTTATTATAGTCCAATGCTTGCTCTCCAGTGACTTTTAATGATATATTTGAATCAGAATCCATTTGATCAATTGAATTTTTCTGTTTCCCAATCTGTTCTAGCTTAGTTTTCTCCCTACCCTTCCTGTTTCTCCTTGTAGACTTCTTTATTACATTTAGATCATCAGAACTTCTAATCTGAGTAGACACACCCAGTGGTAACACATCAACCAATCTATTTCCTTCTTTGAAATTCTCAAAAGTTATGTTGCCAGCATCAGCACTTGAATTATTTGCTTCCAAATCTTGTGAGGCAGCCACCATTCCCTCTCGATTATCATCAATCTCAGCAGTGTCCATGACCTGCGGCTAACATACGACTTATTAAATCTTCAAATAGACAATACCTAAAATGCTGAAGTATGAAAAACCAGTTGCTTTAATTCTCTCTCTACCTGGATTTTGGAGGGACTTGAAAATAATTCAGGGGAGCAGGGCCTTTGTGTCCATTCAAACATCTCACTATCAAATAAATCAACAGAGGTTTTATTTTGCACCTCATCCTACATGACAATAGCAAGAAATAATATTAATAATCTAATATTAATAATACATGCTAATATTATCTGTTTAACTCAGATTGAACAATTCAACCTGATTCAATTTTAAGCAGCCAAAATTGAATTTCTAAAAACAATATGCAACTGTTAGCTATACCAAAATTTGAAGTTTGGTGACTTTAATAAAGTTTGCTTTTCTTAATAATCAAGTAATCAATTAAATCAAATAAAGACATTTTAAGAGATAGATCTAAAATATAAGAGCAGAACTACAGTTTTGTAGATATAAAATACACAACTATCAAAAAACAGTCAACAATTTCATCATCAGACATACAACATATTTATTGGTTAATCAATGTACTTACTAATGGGGCCACATTAGAAGGGTATTCATCATCCGAGTCCTTGAGATCACTGAATGAAGGGGGATTTGGAGTTAAGTCATCAATAGTTTGATCCTCATCAGTGTGTTGACTTGATTTTTCACCTTCTTTTTCCTCTCTTAACCAAAAGAAAGGTGGAAGAACACGATCGTGTTTTTCACTTTGAAGAGGCCTTTCATTTTCCATCACCGAAGCCCGTTCTATTCCCCCTTTGTTAAGAGCCTTCAAACTTTTTAATGGAGTCTCAGAAAGAAGATTTTGGGGCACCTGAACCCTTTTCTTTGCTGGAAAAGAAGGTTTTGCAGAGTCAGAACCTGAACTTTTCATGCTGGTCTGAGTCTTCTTCCTTGACTTCTTCAGGATTTTTTTCTCCTGTGCATGATTTTTAGGAGCTTCACCAGCTTCCGCCTTTACATATGCGGCATCACCCTCACATTGCTTTTCTTCATCTGTAAGATAATTTCAAGTGTTAGTAAAGTACAACCCATTCAGAACGGTACCTTTCTCAATTTTAAGCAAGGAAGGTATAAACTTAAAAAGCTACACAAGTAAATGTAATAAAAGAAAACGCAGTATTTAGCTAACAGATGACAAACTAAAAGCATGTTTTAAGTATATCGATGGCAATTCAATATCAATAATCAATGGTCACGAGATAAGGAACTAAAAAATCAAATTATCTGCATACCATTGATTATTACTTTTTTTGATCTAAATGAAATTTGTTTACAAAAGGAGAGGAAAAATAAAAACGACAGAAATTCCGTTTTGTTGTATGCCCATTCTAGTCAATATCAACAATTAAAAAGAATAGATATTAGCTAAGATTAAATAAGATAAAATCTTAAAACTGGGTGGTTGATAATTTGGTTCTGGCAATAAGGGCCCTTTATAATAGTAGTAATAACAATGTATATGTAAAAACAAAAGGCAGAATGAGTCACCTGATAATTTAGTAACAGGTACATTTTGTGTGACAAATAAACTTATCCCGGAAGCAGTTTCCATGTTTTTGTAGATGCTAACCAAGTTATCCATGTGCGGAGCTGGGCGAACCTCTACCAAAAATACACATTTCCATTTTTCAGTCAGAAAAAACTAGAAACAGGAACCTCTCTGTATTTACATTTTCCAGAATAATAAATTGAAGGTCTCTGCTGTACTTAAAAACACAGTGTAAAAAAAAGTGAAATCCGTTTCAATTTTTTTTAAAAAAAAAAAAAACGGTGATGTGAATGCAGAGTTAGGGTTAAATAAAAGAAACGAAGAGGATGAAACTTACCACGACGAGTAAAAGGTATTTTACAGACAGGACAAGTGGAGGCTGATTTCATTGACTTGAATATACATGAGCTGATGCAAAATTAACAGCAGTTTCAATCAGCGAGGTGTTGTTGAAAAGAAAAAGAAAGGTAACACAATGAAATAAAAAGAAAGTGAAGAGAGTGTATTACTTGCAGAAAAGATGATTGCAGGTAAGTGAAACTGCAGAATCGAGCAAACTCCAACTGTATGAAAAACGCAAAGTGAATGAAAAAGAGATAAAGAAGAAGAAGAATGAGACGATTGATTGATGAATTTGTTTCTTACCAAATGGGACATTTGAGTTCTTTGCCCATTCTCTCCAGATCCCCCATTTCGATTTCGGTTTCGATATCCCAAACACCAACAGCTACTACACAATTCGTAATGGGAAGGGGAATTTTAATTTTATTTTAATTTTGAATTTTAAAGGCGCGCGCGCTTTATGTCCCCGCGCCAATCGTTTACTGAAATTGAAACCTCTCAACTTTTTATACCCAAGAAAAGGGTAAAGATTCCTCGATACGCTTCGTTTTTTTTTTTTTTTTTTTATAGATTGCGCGGGACGCTTAATCCTTTTTAATTAGTTGGTAGTTTAATTACTTACTTAAAGCAGCATTTAATTTTTAGAAAAACTCCAACTAATAAATGTTCTTTTTGTATTACACCTTGCTTAACTTTTTGGTTAAAATACATTTTTGACCTCTATATTCGTTATTTATTTTTAATATAATTCTTGTATAAAAATTGATCTTAATCTAGCGTATGTAGTCGTTACAACACAGAATAATAATAATAATAATATATAGCATGGAAACGCCATATATAAAGACCGGATTAAAATTAACTGCCATATATAATTTATAACTACTGTTTGTGATACTTATTTTTATTTCTAATTTTCTATTCTGCTTTGTGTTATAATTCTAATAAACGAGTTTACATCAATAACAAATGACAATGATCAAAACAAAATTAATAATCCGGTTAAGGTTTAAATTGATATTTTTTTTTATCAAAACTATGTTAAGAATAAAGATTCATGATTAAAATATATTTTTTAACTTTTTAAAAAGTTCCGCCATGTTCTTTTTTTTTTTTTTTTCTAATCTAGTAATAGATCTCAAAAAATATTTAATTAACTCATACGTTTCCTTTGGATGGGAAAAAAAATAAAGAAAGAAAGATTGGAAAGATGTATTATTTAGTTAAATGAATAAATAGTAAACAAATAAATTTTTTTTTTCAGTTTTGATGTCATGGAATAATATCAGGAGGGATAAACCGAATGAAAGTTCAAGATCCATGATTGCACCAAATTGTTTAAACTAAAAGCCTTGGTCTTTCAATTATTTTGTTTGATTGCCTTTGCCTATATCCTCATAGTATAATTTGAATGCTTATTTTTGTTTTTAAAATTTGGCATTGTTTTGAGTATTTCACAAGCCTGTGGATAATTCACGCTTTTGATGTATTCTATTTACACTCATTCATTAAAGATTGTGATTTTTATGAAAATAATTTTTAGAAGTAAATTTATACAACTGAGCCATAGCATAATACATAAATCTAATAATCACAGAAGTCATTTGCATGTTCTTCTTTTCAGAAAAACTACGTTGTTTTGATCAAATATCTACAGCGGATCTGTTTGATTTGCTACCAAAATCAATTTTGAACATCTAAACAGATGTTTCAATGTAAACTTTGTCGCTGACATCTCAATCACATTTAATGATATAAAATTAATTTCTACCAGTCTTAAAGTAAACAAACAATACTCACGTTTTGGCTCCCTCGTCTTCCAATTTTTTCCTTCAACATCATAGAACCAGCAATTCTAGTAGAAATTACTTCTTTTCAGTTATTGAAATGCAGTTGCAAACGAGTCTAATTTGAAAAGGCGTATTTACATTTTTACTTTAACAAAATATTCACCTTAGTGCTGTTTGCAAAACTTCATTACAGCTTACACATTCACTGGACAAGTGTAGTTGCAAAGGTGCTAAAGTTGAGTAGAGAATGTATATTAATATTTTTCCATAATCAAATATTCAATTTAAGCCTGCTCAATCTTGCAATCATGTTTCACCCTTAACAGCGAAACAAGAATAGATGCATGTGCCAAATAAAGCACAGAAACTTGAGGGTATATAATGTCAAGCATGTCAAATGAGACAAGTCTTAGCTGTGCCAGTAGAAAGCCCTGTTTTCCAAAGAAAAGGCATATATATCATTATGGTCAAAGAGCATATTTTATATGTAATTTGTAACAGACTTCCATAATCTTAATTCTTATGCATGTTCACAAACTTACCCATGTGAGAACGAAGAGGCTTGAATTGGTTGACCCCTGCAGCAGAAAGTATTGCCGAGAATGATTGCAACTTATTCATTCAGTTATGTCTCACGGTCTCTATTTTAAAGCACCACATTCTATCTTGAAATAATGTCGCATTTTATCTCGAGATGCCATAATCAAATCCTGATAATTGACATATTACCAGTAATCTTTACAGGAACATGAACCATCTCTGAAGTGGTGAAATCGACTACGATCCCTGATAACAATCTCTCTATCATATATCTTTGATATGAGTTTGATAGCCATATGACAATCCGCACAAACTCTTAGATTCTTCATAACCCTGATAGGAGTCCCTGGTGCTGTATTTAAGAGCATAAAAGCAATTGCAACCTTTTCACTATGATAAGACAAAGCTTGCTCCTTCTCCTCTTCCTCTATGTCTGCAAGCACATTTGCAGTATGAGGCACATAACCTTCTAACTTCAACAATTCCGTGATCTTCTCTAGTAGTGCATATACATTCTGACTTTGAGGATGAGTTCTATCACCCATAGTAAATTCGTAAACACGATTGCCCAACTCAACTAGACTATAGCCAGGGGTTTTCTTAACACCATCCTCTAGCATTGACCTCCTTACTACTTGTACATCTGACCAACGACGTTCAGCAGCATAAAGGTTTGACAGAAGCACATAATCTCCACTATGTTTTGGCTCTAACTTCAATAGGTGTGATCTTGCTATCTCTCCCAGACCCAAATGACCATATATTGTACATGCCCCTAATAAGGTCCTCCAAATAACTGCATTTGGCTGCAATGGCATATTCTGAATATATTCATATGCTTGTTTCACTAACCCTGCCCTACTCAAAAGATCCACCATGCAACCGTAGTGTTCTATCCTTGGCATGATACCATGCTCCTCTTTCATTCTTCTAAAGTAATTGAACCCTTCATCCAACATCCCACAATGGCTGCAAGCATACAACACACCAACAAAAGTGATCTCACCAGGCACTAGTCCTTGTCCCTCCATCTCTCTGAAAAGCTCGAGTGCTTCCTCGCCAAACCCATTAACGGCCAAGCCAACAATCAAAGACGTCCAAGAAACAGTGTTCCTTTTGCTCATCTCACCGAATATTCGTTGCGCCTCCCTGATGCTCCCACACTTTGCATAGAAGTCCAACAGTGAATTAGTAACATGCAAGTTCTCTCTCAACCCAACCTTCAATAAATACACATGTACCCTACGTCCTAATTCTAGAGCTCCAAGCTCAGCACAAGCAGATAAAAAGCTGACCACAGTGAACCCATCTGGCTCCACACCCTCCACACCCATTTCCCTGAAGAGAGTCAAAGCCTCATTGGGCCTTCCATTGAGAGCAAAACCATTAATCACAGAATTCCAAGCCACAAGATCTCTTTCCTTCATTAACTCAAACATCTTGTATGCACTCTCTGTGTCACCACAAGCAGCATATATATGAAGCAAACTGTTCTGTACAAAAACCAACGACTCAAACCCATTTCTTACAGTAACTGAATGTATTGCCTCTCCCTCTCTAACATTCAATGACTTAGAAATACCCTTCAAAAGAAAAGGGTAAGTGTGAGTGTCAGGTTCAACACATGACACCAACATTTGGCGGTAAAAATAAAGTGCAGGACTTGGGTTTTCACTTTCAGCATAGCCCTTAATCATAGTGTTCCACGTAAACACGTTTGGGTTATGTATCATGTTAAACACGTTGTAAGCATAGGACATGGGTGCAGACAGAGACACAATTGTGAAGATAAGATGCTTACCCATGTCAGGGTTGTTGAGTGGGACACCATGCCTTATGGAAAATGCATGGATTTGTCTTAGTTTGTGTTTGGAAGAGGCACAAAATTGCAAGAGAGAAATGCACTTAATTAGAAGTTGTGGTGGTTTTTCTGGTATGGTTGATAAGAAGCTGGTGAATGTAAATGAATGTAAATGGCTTTTGGGGAGGACATGCAACATGGATGTGTGATTGTGTACCCAAGAGGAAAGCTCTGAGTATACTCTCACATTACACATGCGGGAAATGGGTGTCAACTAATGAACGTGAAATGTTTGGATGCAATTAGAGTCTCTTCTAGTGTGATGATATGACAATTATGTTATTATAAATAGCTGTATTATATTGTCATTTTAATCATCACAGCAACTATATTGTCACCAACAACCACCAAATACTTAAATTTCACTTGACTTCAACAGCTCCTATGTATCTTACAATTTGTTATCTTACGATCTGATTGAATTAAATGGAGAGAGAAATTTAATATTTAGTATATAATTTTTTTAGATCAAGGGGTGGTAAACCCTGTTCTTTTTTTTACAAGTTCGCTAGATTTTTTTAGCTTGACATATTTAAAAACTTCCTAGCGGACTAATGGATCGGTTTGCTAAAGATAAAAAAAATGTTGGTAAATTAGTAAATTAACACAAAAGTAAAAAAAATTACAAAAACTTTATTATTATTTATTTATTGTAAATTTAGAAAGAGTCCAACAAGTCAATCTATCGTATCATTTTATTAGCTCATATTTTGGCAGGTTAAGAGAGTTAATCTAATTTTGCATCTCTAATATCAATAATATAGTCTTCAATTCAAGGAGAGTCAAATGCTATAAGAATAATGTTATTTTTGCTATGAGAGCGAGGCATTCATTTTACTTTACAACAATAGTTCTATCTTTATTTTCTAAGTCATTTTAGATAAATTTTTAAGTCTAAAATGCTGTGATATATTTCAAAGTTAATTAGGTTTAACTCTTTTATATAGAAGTGTCAATATTATACAATGTATAATATTACAGTATTAAATAGGTTATTGACCTTTCTAATTTCTCATAATTATTTAAATATAATACACTATAAGATAAAATAAATAGATTTAAGTGGTAATCCTAAATGCACACATATTAACATACTAAATACTAGCAGCAATAGTCATAAACTATCTTCTAACAGCTCATCCCCTACTCCTCTAATCCACACAAAGGAAGGTTATTTTGCATTATAACATTGTTAAATGATACAAAACAGAGAATGGGTAAGTATGACCATTCATAAATTATTTCACAAGGTAAATACTCAATGTCAATGAATATAAAAGAACAATAAGTAATCAAAAATCAAAAGTTTCAATATCTTTTAATTATGTCTTTTTCATGAAGTAATTAATTATCCATCACTTAAGTTTTATGGTTGAAGATTGAGAGTTTAGTGTATGTACTACAGATATTGTTATAAGATTCATCATCCTTCATTGGGTACTTTATTATCTTCATTGGTAGATACTTTAACTAATCACTTTTTACCCCATGCTTGTATGTAACATTATTCAACCACTTTGTTGTACAATTAATTTAAAATAACAACATCAATCAAATTAATTCACAACTCATAATTTAGTCTACCTACTAAAGATTCAAAATAACATCGGTCAAGGTAATTTATTGAACTTTACTATTTTTAGATTTTTCAGATTTTAATTATTTTCTAGATTTTATACATCATCTTGCAAAATTAATAATTTGTTCATTACAAATTCAAAAATTATAAAATTAATGGAGTTATCTTCATTTAAGTGTCTATTTTCGCACAACACAATTCAAACACTCACAAAATGCAATAAGAGTCACAAATTCCCTTTGCATGTCACAAGATATAATTATCTAATACTAATTCTATAAAAAATTTAAAATTAATTCATTACAAATCTAAAATTCATGAAACCAATAAGGATATTTTCTTTTAACTATCCATTTTCATGTAAAATACAAGCATATACCAGGCACTATGAGATTCATATCTAATTCATTTTTCTATACTAGTTTGTTAAAAATTTCATATCTAATTCATTTCAAATTCAAAAGTCATAAGACCAATGAAGTTATTTCTCTCTGAGTATATATTTTTATATATAAAAAAATCTTAACTCATACTCAAAATTCAATATTAGTTACACTTTTCTTATACAAGACACAATTTTATTTTCCAACATTAGTTTAATACAAAATTGATAATTAATTCATTTGAACTCCAATTTCAGTGAAACTAGTGGGCAATTACTCCTACAGCAATCATTCTTTAAAATAAAATGCATTTGTGATTTATTTCTAAACAGTCCCTTCATTTTACATAATTTATAGTTTAATCCCTAAACTTTATTTTATTGCCAAAAGGTCCTTTTATTAAAAGTTTGCCGACATGAGCCATGAGCCATGTTGTACAATGTTCATCAAAATTATAAGGTAATCTCAAACCTTAAGCATTACCAAATACAACTAGATGTCTCCCAATCACATATTCCAAATTTCATGCATATTTGAGATCAATTTAGAGTCAAAATCATGGTACTTCTTTATTTATAAGTTCAATTTTTAAATTTGGTCAAATTTCCTTTGAAATCTCATGTGCTTGTCATGGTTAAGGGTGTGTGAGACAGTCAAGGGCTCAAAAGTTCATTTACATGGTCACTTTCTATTTTAGGTTCATTTTTACTTAATAACTTACTCCACAATTACCAAAAATTTGCTTAAAATACTATTTAATTTTAAAATAATTAAACTAAGTCCAGAATTGTAAAAATACATGTACTAGTCTAATAGGAAAAAAAATTTAATTTTAGAAAAGTATTAAGCGCAAAATAACATTAAAACAATTTTATGTATCTAAAACTGTAAAGTTTCTTAAAAATTTGCAAAAAATAAATAAATTTGTGTACAACTAAAGGCATGTGGATGTCAAACAACAAAGTTAACATTTTTTTATTACTGTAGTTGCACCATTCACATTTCAAACAAAGGTTTTAAAATCATATTAAAACATTCATAGTAAACAAAATTAATTACAACACAGAAAATAACAAAATTTGTTAAAAAAAAAACTTAAATTATTGTTGAAAGAATTATGAAACATAGATCAACGTATATTCATCAATATAACATGAATATATCATGTATCAAACAAATCTATAAGTAAAAGTCTCTCAAAATTTCCCTTTACAATTTCATTGAAATTATTTTGTAAAAATTCTTATTTTCCCCCTTTTTAGTGATTTTCTTTATTTTTTTATTTTTTCAATAATTTATTTTTCATGCACCAAACTAGTGCTACAAAATTTATTATTAAACAAAAAGGTTAAGGGTTTCCCTTAATACAAAATTCATTTAAAATGATATTTCCTTAATTTATGAATCAATACTCGTCCTCCTAACTTACTTTGACTTGTTTTCTTTGTTGTGCACTTAAATAGACTGTCCTTCTCCTCCTTTATACTCTTTGGAAGATTCCTTTTTGCCTCCTTAGTCAATCTTTCCATGTGCAAGATAGCTCCTAAAAGGTTGAAATTTTCTACTTAATTTTGGTGGGGCAGTTTGGTGATTGTCTATGGTTTTCTTGAAATTTTCATGGGTTTAATTGTGAAATATGACAAGAGCTGATTAAGTGAGGTTAGTATATCACGTATTAGTTATTTTTAAGAGTGAAGGGAAGTGGAATTTTGCTATTTGTAAGTGAACAAGTCAAATGGTCCCTAAAATATCCTTATATAGATGTAAAAATTGCTAAGTTTTGTGTGTCCTTATCTTTCATTGTGCTTGGCTGATTTTGGAGGGGCACTTTACGACTAGTATGTGTTATGTGTGCCCCTTGTATGAGCTTCAATTGGCTGCCCAAATGGTTCTTATCTTGCAAAGTTAATTTGCTCCAAATTGTTCAAGAGATTAGACCTTGTATATATGATTTTGTACTTGTCTAGTTTGATTCTAAACTTTTGGCTTGCTAAGTCTAATTCCTTTCACCTTAAATGCTCCAATTATTAGTTAATTTGGATAAGATTTGGTCATAGTTCAGTTAGACAAGTTAAGAAGGGATAACTCTTTTCTTGTTGGCTTACTATTTCAGTTGAGCTCATGCTTCAATTATATGCACTTGGGTCTATCTTTCAAGTAAAATTAAATATGCAATGGATTGGAAATTGGATCCTTGAATTGTTGCCAAATTTTCTCCTAAACTGTACCAAATTCATGTCATTGCTGGCTATTTTGTGAGATTTTTGGTAAATTTTTCCTTTGAGTTTTTGGGCTATTTTGAGCTATTTTTTCTCATTTTGACGTAGTTTTGTAACTTGTATTTTAATTCTTTTTTTATTTATTATCTTGGTAGTCAATGAAAGCACCAAATGTAAGTAACATCAACTTAAAATTCAAAGAGAGTTCAATCTTCTTATTGAAGGCTATAGCTATAACACAATTGTTTGAGGAAAAATGTGTCCCCAAGTCCAAACCTATTCAATTCTCCAGCAACCATAGATTACCAATATCCTTCCTACAAACCCACAAAGCACATCCTTACCTCATCTACCATCCACCCCACCCATTGACCATTTACAACAAATTTCAAACACTAAAACATTAAAAAAGTTTCACTTGTCAAAATGCAACTGAGACGATAAAAAGTTTGTGCTACATGTGTGATGAGAAGTTTTCTATTAATCATTGTTATCCTAACAAACATTTGATGATTTTAAACTCAAACAAAGACTAGCCTATAAGCATTGGACTCATCGACCCACCTATTCTCATCCATTCTGATTTTATCTCTACAAGCAATCATCGCTCATCTTTCAATGCACTCAATGATGTGCAAGGAGTGAGAACTTTGAAATTTTAAAACCTTATTAATGATGTCTGAATTCAAAATTTATCGGACATGCCGCTAGACTTCAAAAAAATATAAAAAAATCAAAGAAATATTAAATGAGTCATGCGATAGTAAGGTGTCTATAAATTAAAATTAATTTATTCTTTGTTTTAATTAGTTGCTTTATATATTTGATTTTCTTATCTCTTTGTTATATTATTTATTTTAATTTATACCTTTAGCTTGGCTAAAAACTACTAAAATTTACAAAAGTCTGAAAGATAATAATTAAATTAAGAATGGAAAAAATTAAGATTTACATAATTTGTGTACCTTTTAATAAATTTTAAACAATAACTAAAAAATATGTTGAGAAAAGTATGTTACTAATATTTTTATTGAAAAAAGAAGAAGGAAAGCTTAGTATTTTTTTACTCTAACTCAAGGGTGAAATTCAATTTCATTATTCAACTTTATTTTTATTCATTATAATCCTTTAACTTTTAAAAATATTTCAAATAAGTCATTTTTCGTTAAAAAAAATATTAACCCTTTTTTTATCATTCTTCATGTGCATTGTTTTTTTATTTGTTGGACA